AAAAAAAAGTAGATATACAATACCATTTTGCTGAGCGTTTCAGCATTTTCCTGAAAATACCGTTCATCTTTGGCCAGCTGATTACGAATACGATCGTCATACAAAAGCTGAGAGAAAACATAGAATTTTTTCTTCAAAAACTGATACGCGTGATTAATCTGCAATATTTAAATTATATGCTTTTATCTGATTTTTCGGCCGCATTTTTGGTATATGAGCAGACTCGGTGAATTCAATAAAACACTAGCAAAAATAAAAAAATCATGAATTTCTTAATATATATTGCGCGAGAAACGGTGGGGTGAGAGGCGAAGGGAGGGGAAAGGGGAGAAAAATGGTCGAGCGTGATGACGAAAAGGTGGCAAATATGAATGATGTAAGCAAAATGAATGCAGCAAAATGCGCCGAACAAAACCCCCCTCCTCTTAACCTTCTTCATATCCTAACAAAGCAAGACAGTATGTACCGTGGTATTCATAATTCCCATTCCATGTGTTCGTATCGAATTCGCCACATGCTCTACGGTCAGCACTGTTAACTGCTTACTTTTGCTGTCCTTTTCGATAAAAAACTGAAACATTTTACCGTCTTTTATCAAAAAAAGTAGGCGAAATTTTGAAACTGCGCCACAACAAAAATTATAAATCAAAATCTCTGCACAGACTAATGCCTTGGAAAAAACCTTAAAAAGAGAAAATCGTTGTTCAGCGATAAAAAATGATTAAAGTAATTTCTGCAAATTGAAAAAATTGTAGCGTAAAAACTGGTTGAATTTATTTCCAAAAATTAATTCGATTATTTAAAAATCAGTTAAATTTCAATTCTCTCGCTAATTTTTAATGTTATACCTGTTCATTAAGATTGTAGTTATAGGATTCAACAAACGAATCAATGTTACGTGCTATGAATAAGACATCGGGTCCTTGGTCAAGTTTCTGGAATGGAAGACGATTTTCGCATAAGATCAGTCCGTATTTATGCTTCGCTAACACACTCATCTGCATATAAGTATGAGAATCATGTAATGCCACCGCCGTAAGATTGTAGAACGTTCGCTCAAGATATTTTTCAACATATCCTGAAAGCAATGCATCAAAGAAAGATAAAACACACCATCGACATCTCAAACAGGTCTGCCAGAAAAACCTGCGGGCTGGAAGTCCTTTCGAGAGGCAAAACCAACGTCAGGATCGCCGACGGCATATACTCCTGATCAAAGCAGTTGGAAAAGTTGTCAGCTGCATGATGGAAAATTAAGCTCCAGATTACAACCGATCTAAGTATTTAAAGTATGTATATGACTAGCCACTACAGGACATGTCGATATGGAAAGTCTTTAAAATGCATTAAGTGAAGTTTTTAGGGGCTGACGCGTGATAAAAAAAA